CTGCTTGAGTTCAAACAAAAAACGCAACGCCTTTCTGCCAGGACACTGAGGCTGTGTCTAGACTACATGCCTCTGTCGGCAGAGGCATGTAGATTAAACCTCGTGGAATGAGGTTTACCGGGGCTGCCGACAAAGGGCTTTGATGTCGACAGGGGGAACGTCCAGACTAGCGCGCGAGCCGACAAACAGCTGATCAGCTGTTTGTCGGCTCAGCGCGGCAGCCCTGCAAACGTAAATGAAGCCGCGATCATTTAAATCGCGGCTTCATTTCCCTTTTCCAAAACAACAAATCTACATGGCTCCGTCGACGGAGCCATGTAGTCTAGATGTACCCTGAGTCTGCCCTAAGTTACAGCAGCGAGGGGCCCGATCCCGACCCAAATTTCGGTAGCCCCGCTGCGCAAAGCCGTTCGCTTGAAACCAACGGGGCTAAGCACAGCCCGCGTCAAGATTAGTGGGTGTCTGTGAAGGGTCGGGCCCTCCGAGATGACCAAAGATGGACAGAAAAAGCAGCAACACACCTTGACCCAAGTGATGCGAAGCCAGTGGAAACGGTCCCGTTGATACAGAATCGGGTCTTAAAATGATCTCCGTAGAGCTGGGGCGGTCAAGAATTTCAGATGGGGGGGCCACTTCAGACATTTTTGAAGTATCCCCAGGCTGCCCCAGAAGGGGCGGGGCCAGGGCATTTCCATGCTCCCCCACAGACCCTGATTGGCCTGGGGTAGGGGGAGCATGTAAAGTCTTTGCCCCTACCCCTGCGGGGAGAACCACCAGCTGTTCTGATCAGCTGCCAGTTCCCTCTAGCCACCTGTGCCCCTGGCGGAGGGAGGAGACTTTGCACGCTCTCCCCACCCCCAGCCCTATCAGAACCTGGGGGCAGGAGAAAGCATGTGAAGTCCCCTCCCACTCTGCCCCCGCCCTACTGGGGGAGCATGTAAAGTCTTTGCCCCTACCCCTGCGGGGAGAACCACCAGCTGTTCTGATCAGCTGCCAGTTCCCTCTAGCCACCTGTGCCCCTGGCGGAGGGAGGAGACTTTGCACGCTCTCCCCACCCCCAGCCCTATCAGAACCTGGGGGCAGGAGAAAGCATGTGAAGTCCCCTCCCACTCTGCCCCCGCCCTACTAGGGGCGTGTGGGCTGGGGAGTTCCCTTTGCCTACCCCTGCTTTGTAGGCTAATGCGAATCAGCGACAACCGCAATATTATTAATCACCCTAACCGCTACTGCTGTTATTTTCCATTAGCTGGCTTCCCACTAGCTCCTTAACACCAAGGCATCTTGGGAAATACCCTCCCCCCCTTCTGCTGGGTGTGGCACCAGGCTACGTCTAGACGACATCCCTTTTTCGGAAAAGGGATGTAAATTAGACACATCGCAATTGCTAATGAAGCGGGGATTTCAATCTCCCCCGCTTCATTAGCATAAAAATGGCTGCCGCTTTTTTCCGGCACGGAGTTTTGCCGGAGAAAAGTGCCAGTCTAGACACTGATTTTGCGGAAAATAAAGCCTTTTCCAAAAGATCCCTTATCCCTCTTGAAATAATGGATAAGGGATCTTTTGGAAAAGGCTTTGTTTTCCGAAAGATCAGCGTCTAGACTGGCGCTTTTCTCCGGCAAAGCTCCGTGCCGGAAAAAAGCGGCAGCCATTTTTATGCTAATGAAGCGGGGGAGATTGAAATGAAGTCAGCCAGGTGGGCCTACAGCAGGTTGTGGTGCAGGTCTTAATCCCGGTGATGCATTTGTCCTGCGAGGCTGTCTCGAAAGCTCTGCTCCTTGGCGTGGACCCTTCCAAAGGATGCTTCAACAGTGGCCAAAGTCATTCCCACATATCCTGGGGGATTGCTGAGGGCCAGGACAGCCCCGGGAAGGGTGGAATGAAAAATAAGTGGGGAGGGGTGAGGAATGAATAGCAGGGCTGTAAAAGAAGCCATGGTAAATCAAGAGGATCCACTGGGCTGTTTTATGTATTTATTGGGCTGTCGCCACCTTCCCTAACAAGCTAGGAGAACCCTGCTTGCAGTATGAGGAGAGATTAAAAAGACTGGGATTTTTCATCCTAGAAAAGAGGAGACTAAGTGGGGGGGGGGGGGGAGGTTGATAGCAGTCTATAAAACCATGACTGGTATGGAGAAAAGGAACAAGGAAAAGTTATTGACTTGTTCTCATAACATAAGAACTAGGGGTCACCAAATGAAATCAATAGATAGCAGGTTTAAAACAAACAAAAAGGAAGTTTTGCTTCATGCAGCACACGGTCAATCTGTGGAACTCCTTGCCAGAGGATGTTGTGAAGACCAGGATTTTAACAGGGTTCAAAAAAGAACTAGATAAATTCATGGAGGCTAGGTCCATCAATGGCTATGAGCCAGGATTGGTGGGAATGGCCTCCCTAGCTTCTGTTTGCCAGAAGCTGGGAATGGATGACAGGGGAGAGATCATTTGATTCCCTGTTCTGTTCACTCCCTCTGGTGCACCTGGTGTTGGCCGCTGTTGGAAGACAGGCAGGACACTGGGCTACGTGGACCTTTGGTGTGATACAGTACAGCCATTTTTATGCTGAATTTGCACCTTTGGATCCATTCGGTGAGTGGAAGGGGCCTGAGCACCCTGTGATATTTCCATAGGGAGCCTCTGTTTAAACCACCACCCTCCCCCAAGAAACAAAGCAATGGGCCTTGGTGGTGATTTGCCAAGAGACCCCGCAGCCAACTCCTCCGGGCACAGGCTGGGCTGGGAGGCAGAGCAGCTGTCACTTGGACACTGAGAGGGGAGGGTATGTAAGCCTCCTAGTCTGCTCTAGGAGCGACTTCCTTGGGGGGGGGGGGAAACAGACAGAGAAATTCCCTCCATTGGATGCCTAGGGGCACTCAAGGCTATACTTGGGTGGGATTTTCGCTAAGACACAGGGAAAGTCCTTACAATGGTTCCTCCTCCTCCTTAAAAAAACCCAGTAGTCCTGTAACACCTTAGGGCACATCAACACACCAGGGCAAAAGTCAAGTTACGCTGGATCTGGGGCATCTCTCAGGGATGGTTCTTGGTCCTGCTGTGAGGGCAGGGGACTGGACTTGATGACCTCTCAAGGTCCCTTCCAGCTCTATGAGATAGGTATCTCTCCATATAAACAACTACGCAACTCAACTGTGTAGCTGAAGTCAAAATCGCTTCATTTGGCTTGTGGCACTGTCTACCCAGGAGGAAGTCGAAGGAAGAGCTCTCTTCCTCTGACTTCCCTGACTCCTGGGCTGTGTCTAGACTGGCCAGTTTTTCCGGAAAATCAGCCGCTTTTCTGGAAAAACTTGCCAGCTGTCTACACTGGCTGCTTGAATTTCCGCAAAAGCACTGACTTCCTACTGTAAGAAATCAGTGCTTCTTGCGGAAATACTATGCTGCTCCTGTTCAGGCAAAAGTCCTTTTGAGCAAAACTTTTGCGCAAGAGGGCCAGCGTAGACAGCTCAGATTTGTTTTCCGCAAAAAAGCCCCGATCGCAAAAATGGCGATCAGGGCTTTTTTGGGGAAAAGTGCGTCTAGATTGGCGCTGACGATTTTCCGCAAAAAGTGCTTTTGTCGAAAAGCATCCGTGCCCATCTAGATGCTCTTTTCCGCAAATGCTTTTAATGGAAAACTTTTCTGTTAAAAGCATTTCCAGAAAATCATGCCAGTCTAGACGTAGCCCTGCTGAAAGAGTATTTTGTCCCACCGGACAGTATTTTGAAATAATGGCTTGCCGTGTAGACATGCTCTTTGTTATTCCCAATAGGGCTGCTGTATAGAGGTACTCTAGAGACTAACACACCCTGTGTGGATTAGATAGATAGATTCATGAGTTTTCGTGGGCAAAATCCACTTCCTCGGATGCGTGGATAAAAAAGAGGGGGAACCTCCCAATTTATGACAGTAAAAGAAGGGAGGGAGAGCAACTCCGGGTCCCCTTAGAGGAGGCACTATGCGGGGGATAGAAATATAATAATAAAACTCGACAACCCATCAGCTCAGCGAACTAAACACCAACTGCTAACATCCAATCCAGTGGGGGTGATTCGATCTAGCAAAACTGGCCCTGTCACCTCGATTTCCAGCCGCCTATTCTCATTCCTTGGCAGGCCAGGAACAAAGATCCTCTTTCTACCTCCTCCTCCAAATATGAAGCCCTCGATGCTCGCAAAACTTCCCCCTTCCCGCATCAGGCCCGTTCCAGACACCCTAGACTGAGGTGCATCGCCTGGTCAATTTCGTCTGGGTTTATTCCCTCAGTTGGAGTTACTACGAATTTGTCCTTTGCTTGGGCGTCTGGATCGGGACGAAATGGCTCTACCCTCCTGGGTCCGAAGGCAAATTAACCGTGTGGTTTAAACCGGAATCAGATCTAAAGCGGCCCTCCAGTAAAAATAGTTTAAAAAAATAATCGGAGCTTGGTTGTAACTTTCATCAGCGACGGAGAAACTCCGCCAGTCCAGCCTCTCTCTCCCTGGTCTCTACCGCTGTCTTGCTAACAAGCAGGGAAAGCCCCTGTCATATCAAAGTCAGCATTAAAAAAACAAAACAGCCCTGCTTGGGTGCAGTTCCTACCCACCCAAGTCCCTCCCTGCGAGCCTCCAAAACAGCTGGGTGTTTTTCCATCAATAGAGCTCCAAATCAGAGAAAAATCAAGCCACCTGTCCCAGCTTTTTTAGGGTTTTTTAAATGATGTTGCAAGAAGAACGGTGGTTTCATGCAGATGACAACACACTCTAACCCCCCCCCCCCCCAACACAAATTGTTACAAGCGACAACGAAACAAACTAGATCGTTTACTCATCCTCGATTCGGGTGGATCGGCTGGATGAAGTCATTTTAGGTGCAGGCAAAATTCACTGGGTGGATCTTTTCAATAATTAGGGGGCTCCCAATGAGTAGGAGGGGGCTGGTTTCTTAGCAGAGGTCTGGAGCTTTTGGATGTCCGGCGGGTGGGAAAAGAGGGTGTGAAAAAATCCTCTTTTTTATGCAAAAGAGGGAAGAAGAGCAATAAAAAAGGGGGGGGGGGGGAGTTTCTCCAAATTTCGTTCCAACGTCTCAGACGGCCGCTGCGAGGAAAAGGAAGACAGGGGGGTAGAAAAGGACAGCCCGAGCAAGTGAAAACAAACACACACCCGATATAACCTCACCGATTTATGGGGTTTTGCATTTTAGTAGCTTCTACCCAGGGAGTGAAATCCGGACAGGTTGTTATAGCTACCCTAATCCACAGGGGTTCCCCCCCCCCCAGCTATTTAAACCCCCTAAATCTTCCTCCCCCTTTTTAAAACTACTTTTTATCTCTCTGGCTTGTGGGCCAACATGCCCCTAATGAGTATTAAAACACTATCTCCTCGCAATTAGCTCATTCCTGTCTTCCCGTTCCTGATTGACAGAACCAGTGGAAGCATACGAATTTTCCCTTTGGCAATAAGTGCTGATTGGATCCTTCTAAGGAGAACTACTTCAAACTTTTTTTTTTTTTTTTTTTTTTAATATTTGCCTTCAGTGTCTTGGCTGAGAGAAGAGTTTTTTACCTCTCTGCGATTTTTTTTTTCTCGAGAGGAGTTGGGGAAGGAAGAGAGAGGTTTATTTACCTGCTTGGGCTGAGTTCATTTGATCTGATTGTGTGTGGGGGGTGTTTTTTTTTTAATCATTAAAATCCTGACTCGTCAATCACAAGCAAGAAAAGCGTTGGCAACCCTTTGAATTACCCAAACTTTTCCTCCACTTTTGGCGATGGGCTGTTTTGGATATTGCCTGTTCCTTTGTGGGTTGAGTCAAGCCATGTCAAGCTACCCAATCTGGTGGTAAGTAAATTCGAATTCTTCTTCTTTTCATTTACAAGGAGTTTTTCTGTCTCCTCGGATTTTATTTGCGACTCCTGCTTTTAGGGTCACTCTATTCGTTGCCACTTAACTAAAAAAAGTGGAATTGTTCCAACGCCAGAAAGTTTTTTTTTCCTTTTTTTTTTTAATCCACATTTCAGATCTTTTGTTTATACATTCCCGTTGTTGATTAGGACTGGGTTGTACCTGACCGCTTGTTGTTCTGCTGCAAAAGGGGGAAGATTTCGAAAGTTATTTTGTTGTAGTGCTTTGATCCCCGTCTGGAAAGAACAAAAGGCACTGACTGAATTAAAGAGATGATACAAGTTGACATGAGCATTTTAAGGTGGTTTTGAGCTAGTCAGGTGGAAGGAAGGGGGGTGGAGTAGGAAAACATTTTTCCCCTTGCTTTAAGGAATATGTAAAAAAAAAAAATCAAGCAAATAAACTGGTAACACAAGACAGGACAACCTGGACTCGTTATGTAAAGAGACGCAGGGAAGGGAATTGATAGAAAATTGATTAGGAATGGGACTAAGTTGATTTCTCTCGCTAGACTTTTATATTATAGAGCTTGCCGTGTAGATTATGGGCTGGGTGGAGAAGTTTTTTGTGCCCGGAATCTTGAGGGGGAACGGGCCGGTTTTGCGGGGATAAAATCCGGGGGATAAATCGAATGAGGATTCGGAGCAGAATCGGGCCCCTTTCGATAGGGCAGCGAGGCGGCAAGGCCGTCCGAAAAGATCATTTGTAGGCGGAAAAATGGCCATTTTCTTAGGCCAGGGAAAGGGGCAGATAAGCCAGAATCGCGTTTAGGTTTCTGCCCCTTGTATCCTCTGGCCAGAGGAGACAGAAAACAGGAGGGATCGGGCACCCAAACAAATGTTTGTTGTGGCTCTTTGCCCCTCCAAACCAAAATAATGCCATTAGGAAAACGGACCCCTCTCCCCCAAGTTTTCCTTTCAATTTGGGGCTCTCCTTTGCAGGGTGAAACATGCTTGAGAACACGGCGGGCGGGCACAGCCCAGGTCCGTGGTAGATCCGTCGGAAAGCGGCTGGAAACAGAGCTAAACCTCCCCTTCTTGTTTCGCCTGAATTTAGCTTTTTTTCCCCCTCCCGCGTTGCTTTTGGACCCCCACTGGCTGTAGAGAGGGGGGCGAAAGGGACAAGGTGCATCCGTCTCCAGCGAGCAACTTTGCAATGCCAGGGCGTGGGTGTGTGTCTGAGCCACCGGGATTAATCATGCCCCCAAACTCCACCGCTTTCCCAGAGCCCAGCTGGGACGCAGACAGAGCAGGTGTGAGAGAGGAAGGGCCAGATTTCCCCCCGCGAAAGCGAGCTGTCTAGGAGACGGGGGGAGTCCTTTTTCACTCGTAACTTTCCCTGCAGTTCTTTGATTCCAGCCCCCCAGCCTCGGCTCGATTCCGGGCTTGGATTCTGGAGGAGACACCCAGAAGAGGCCGGTTGAAGGTTGCAGCCTCTCCCTTTAAGCGCTCATCCGAGCGCTCCCCTACCAAAAGCCATTGGAAGGAAGGGGTTCTCCAGGAGGCATGTAGCTGCAGATCGAGTAATTACCAAGGCTAGGAAATTGGAGCAAGGGAAACCCTCGTCGAGATGGGTCCTGCTTTGAAATTGGTCCCTTCGCGAGGCGCAGGGCGCAAACGCAAGGGCGCTTTTAGCCAGGCGATGAGCCTCTGCCATTGCTCAGCGCGCAAGAATCAGCTGATGGTGGGGAGGTGCGGTGGGTCCCAGTAAACTTGCCCCGGAAAGCGGTGTAAGCTCTGGGCTGCCTCTGCCTGTGTGTGTGCAAGGAAGGCAGGCCGCTTGTACTTGTAACGCCCAGAGACTTTTAAAGAAAATCGTGCGCCCTGGGTGCGCGGGCGCAGATAGAATTTTCAGTGACTTTTGCGCGCTCGCGCTCGTTTACACCAATCCCTGCAGTCATACTCTCTCGGAGCGCGTGCTGCCCACTCCCTTGAACATGCCCGGGGTGAAAATCGCGCGCCGCCAGCGAAGTGAAACTGCGACTTATTTTGAGATGTGATCGACGGTTAGGGGAAGGCGGTGGGGGAAGAGGCTGGTTTTTTTTTCTATGATACATTCTGGGTTCCCAGTTTTTTTCCCTCCCTCCAGCGCCTCTTTTGAAGTGGGCTTTGCCGAGGGAAGCTCGTGATCCTATAGCTATTTTGGCTAGTCTCTAAGGTGCCACAAGGCTGCGCGTTGTGGTTCATCATTCTTGCGGTCGCCTCCCCGCGTCTGTTCTCCCTGTGGGCAGCTGAGGGGCGAGGAAGGGGGGTCGCGAAGGCAGTCCCCCCGACTATTTCAGGTATGTCTGAAGCCGGGGAATTCGTGTGAATGGGAGCAGGGCCATAAAATGCAAATACGGTCCTGGTAAGGCAAACGACCCGAACACCTGGACTGGAAGCATTAACCAGCGCGCTTTTATTCACAGCCTCCATCTAACTTATAATTAGCAGCTCCCTGCTGCATTCCTGATTGGAGAAGGAAATGCATTCCACCGGGGCCGACATAAATATTCCCTTGTCACCCACGCCAGGGAAAAAGAGGTGGGGTCGCAGATCGACAGTCCCTCCCGGAGCGTCCCGGAGATCAGCTGCAGCCAAAGTTCCAAATCACTGGGGGAGGGGAGGGCGGAGAAAAGACCTTGATTGCTCGTTTCTCTGCTGCACCGCACGGGAGGTTCCTGCCAGGTAGTTAGAGCATCACTTCTTGTTCCCAGGGCTGGGGTGTGTATCTGGGGGGAGGGGTAGAACATGCAGCAGGAACCGGCGTGAGATCGGATGCAACGCAACCGTTTTCGCCATCCCCTTTTCCAGCGCAGCGAGACACCCCCTCGGGGCTTGGGATTGCAAAGGAAATGTTGATTCGGGGTCTTTTCCCGGTTGGCCTGTTCCCTGCCTGAATCCCCACCCAGGCACCTTTGTTCCCAGGCCAGCTTAGACTCCCGGCGTTGCGCTGAAGGGGCAGGCGTATGCACCGGGTGGGACGAGTCTTTACCTTTCCAAAGGAAAACAAAAGCCGCCGCCCAAGTCCCAAGGTAGAGTGGAGGGCAGAAAAAAGGAGAGGGTTGTGTCAGATTTGGGTTTCCCCAGGAGGGCTGGTATATACACCACACACTGATATTTTTTGCAACAAAGGGCATGTCTACACAGCAGGGCAAAAGTCGAATTAAGCTATGCAACCTGAGCTACCTCAGTTGTGTAGCTGAAGTCAAAATAGCTTAATTCGGCTTTTGGTACTGTCTACTGAGCAGGAAGTATGCTCTTCTTTCACCTTCCCTTGAAATGAGGGTTACAGAAGTCTGAGTAAGAAGCTCGCTATTTTGAAACTATCTGAAAATAATGGGCTTGCTGTGTAGACGCACACTGTGTTATTTCGAAATAAGCGTGCAGTGTAGACATAGCCATGGGGTGTATCTACACAGCATCCTAAACTTGAAATAAGAGACATAATTTGCGCTGTGCAAATTGCATCTCTTGGGTTGTGTCTATATTGGCACCCTTTTCCGGAAAAGGGATGCTAATGAGACACTTCGGAATTGCAAATGCCGCGGGGGATTTAAATATACTTGAAAGTAGGAATAAGGGATCTTCCGGAAAAGGGTTTATTTTCCGCAAGATCCCATCTAGACTGGCGCTTTTCTCCGGCAAAACCCCAAGCTGGAAAAAAGTGGCAGCCATGTTCATGCAAATGCCGCGAAGGATATTGAAATCTCCCGCGGCATTTGCAATTCCGAAGTGTCTCATTAGCATCCCTTTTCCGGAAAAGGGTGCCAATATAGACACAACCCAAGAGATGCAATTTGCACAGCGCAAATTATGTCTCTTATTTCAAGTTTAGGATGCTGTGTAGATACACCCCATGGCCTCTACTTTGAGCCATCCCTTAACCCTTGTGCAATGAGGTTTACCAGCATGTCCATTATTTCGAAAAATATTTTGAAATAACGGGCAGCTTGTGTAGACATGGGGTAGCTATTTTGGGTTACTGAAAGTATCCCAAAATAGCTGTGCAGTGTAGACGTATTCTGTGAGTGTAGCGGGTGTGTGTGTGTTGTATTGTATGTGTGTTGGAGTGATTTCTATCTATCTATCTATCTATCTATCTATCTATCTATCCTGTGAAATAGATCGTCATACTATCTTAGCCCTGCATGGGAATGAAGCATTCATGTCAATTGAGATGGATGTAGTTTCTGCTTCTGTACAGAGATGCATGACTTGTTAGGTGAAAAGCAAATTTAACTCGCCCAGATATATTCCCAGCAAATGCATCTAGCTGATTAATAATTATGGTAAATGTGAGTGTCTTTCTTATTTTTTTTTTCCCCAAACATTTTTTAAAATGAAGGCAAGTTAGATCTTGAAATATCTTTTTTAAAAGAAAAAATGCAAGCATTTCACTCGGGGCTACTGTTAGGATTTTAAAGTGCTGGCAAGTTCCTAACATACATGCTAGAAAGCAGTGCAGTGCCCTTTACTTACAGCAATGGGTGTCTCGGAGGACGTGTATTAGTGAGGTCCGAGGGCATGAGATGGAAACTCCTAAATAGTCTATTCTGCCTGCCAGCTCAGTTGTTTTTAGCCATGAGAGACTAGATGCTGACGGCTGTTGTTAGTGATGGGTCAGTTTCCTAGTGTACAAAGCTTTGAGCCTTACTGAGGGCGTGATCCTGTTCCCACTAAGATCCCTGGGAGCTTTCCCATGTGCTACACGGAAGCCAAACACTTGCCACCTGGCCTTCCCTAGCACAGAACTCTACTACTTGTGCTAAAAGAGATGCTCCCATTAGGTAGCAGTAGAAGGAGACTTTTTGCTTCTAGTGGCCCAGCCATCAAAGGAATACTTTGCCAGTATACTGCAGAAGTTTCCTATCCTTTTTTCAGTGGGCTGCGTGGGGAGATGGAGTGAGTGTTTCTATTAACATTATTAATAACAATCGTTGTTTGGTATTTGTATTA